TACTGTAGACAGGTTAAAAGGCAGTCATTGATTAAACAGTCGACAGTTGTCAACAGACAAGAGATATGAGAAAGTCACAAAATGAACCCTTTCCTTACGATATGTATTACAAGACACATTTGCTGAGTAACTTCTTCTGAGTAACATGAAAGTCATGGGATCACCGCCATAATAAATAATAACGTGTGTACGTATATTGCGCTGGACTCCGTACACAAGGTCAATGGATCAGTGTGCGCTTGATTTTCATTCTCAACTCCATGGGGAGTATGCACCAAAACCTATTAGGCACTAGAAGGTTAACAGCCACATTAACATCTCATCCTTCCGGGTACCCAGTCACTGCTAGATGAACAGAGGCATATTTGGAACATGCCTAAGAAGACACCACATGTGCTTCAGTGTGGGGCACGACCGAAGCCCTGGAAACTCCTTAGAGACTCTCAAACGCCGTCGCCTATCAGACTATTCTCTGCAACCAACACTGCTTAACTTCCCCTGATTTGTGCCCTGTGCAACCACATGCCAACATCCTAATGATGAAAGTGAAACATTGAGGATGTGTCCGGCAAACCTCCCATAACTCCCTACATTAGAGTGAGTGAGTGAGTGAGTATGGTTTAGCCCTACATTAGAGGACTGGTCTTTGTTTGCATTCTAACCCGTGAAGATCGGGGGAAGAATAGGTCTTCAGCAACCAATGCTTGCCGTAAGAGGCGACTAATGGGATCGGGTGGTCAGGCTCGCTGACTTGGTTGATGCTCATGATGTCAATCACTGGATTGTCTGGTCCAGACTTGAGTATTTACAGACCGCCGTCATATAGCCGGAATATTGCCTAGTGTCGAGTTAAACAACAAACAGTTTGCATTCTTTTTCTACAACAGATCAAAACAACTGTTTGTTTCTAATGACTTTGGATCATATCTAATTATACATAAACGATGGAATACATGACTTCATATGATAACGGCAAAAATTCAAATAGCACAAGTTTGAAATCTTCCTTAATGCTGAGCCATTCCGCAAAGCAATCCTTGCAATACGATCGTCTAAACTTACATTCTTTAACAAACACATCACATTGTGCAGCAGGGCACAGGTATTTATAAAATCTTATCAAATGATCTGACCAGAAAGTCTGAAGTCATTGCATAATAAATTATTTCAGTCTTCAGAGGACTCGGGTTTCATATATTTTTCTTTAAGGTAAGAGTGTTATTGATTGGAAAGTTTAGTATCGATATATCGACTCAAAAGTATCATGAATATTGATATATTGATTAATAACAATGGCCTTATTCTGTATCAAAGTGACGAGAGAGAGAGATTCCTATCTAGACCTGCAATTATGTACGAGGCTGATTCTTTAATGTTTAAAATTGAATTTATTTTCTACCTTCTCATTGTCCATGTTAATCATGGTGATCTTAACAAAAGTAAACGTTCTGTGGCAGTGAATTATTAATTAAATATCAATATGAAAACATTTGTATCGATACATTGTCAACATTAAACATTGATTGACTTATCCCTACTTGGAGACAATATCTTGTAGCAGAGGTTCCAGTCAGACGTGCCGGTTACATTAATCACAGTATCTTTACAAGCAAAAGAAGTCTTAAAGAACACATTGTCTCAGATTTCCCTCAATGACAAACTTTCATACTGAGTACATTTTCTTGGCATAATTATGGCATCATAGTAGAATCAAGAAGTTATCGTAAAAAAATATCACAATAACCTTTGAAAAACAGTTTGAATAATGACAATTAATTACTGACATTAGACAAAACCTATTTTGATTTAAAGTAATAAACTGTTGTGTCCAATTCACTGTTCTCTTACTCCAAACAGTTCAGCAAGTTGATCCAGATGCCAAGTCAAACAAGAAAAGCAAATTATCTCCCCTTGACCATAGCCATTCTGTCATAAGCACTGCACACAAGCTGACTGGATTTTGACCTATTTCTTCACCCACTTTCTCAAACAATTCATTCATTCATTCATTCGTTCATTCATTCATTCATTTGATCATTCATTTGATCATTCATTTGATCATTCATTCATTCATTCATTCATTCATTTGATAATCTTGACTAACCTTGCATCCTGATTCCTCTTTATCTGTACAATGAAGAAACATAAAAGAAATATTTCTTTATTAGATTATTATTATTCTTTTTTAGATTTTTGCAGCCATACTCTGACTGGAGATTAGTTGCTGTTCTCTATTTACAAAGGTGGAATTGTTGAGGACTGTTTCAGGATTCTTTATATCTTAAATTCATGTTATATATTGACTTCAGATGCCATGTTATTTCAGGACAATGTTAAATAAAATCAAAGCTCATTGTATGCGTGTATTATGCACACACTGGTAGTCCAACAGTACTCCAATACTGTATTCCAGTATTTTACTCATCAAGGAATACATTTATGTAGGGAGGCCCTTTCCGAGGTTGATGGTACACAACTGTTTATTTGGGTACACACTGGTACTGAACAACAAACAATAAGGCCACCTGCCTGCACTGTATTTACAAAAGCCGTTGCCTGAGAGCCAATTCATTTATTTATTTAAGACCTAGTGGAGGGTAATTGTTTTAGTACATTTGTGCATCAAAAACCTCTGCCCCGATCATCCCTGGCATAAAACACTCGGCCCCTTATTGAAGCTATATTTGATCATAGGGATATGAAAAACTGTATAGTTTTGAAAAGTTTACGATAACATTATCCCTTCATAAATTGACATTTATATTTAATTTCAGTATTTAGGACATTTTCAACATGTATGTTACCAAAACAGTTTGAATGAACGAAGTTCCCACCTGATTAATAGGCTGGGGGAGAGATCAAGGGCGCCATCTTGGACTGACACACACACCAACATATCAGCTAATAAGGACCTTTAACCACAGCGGACGGATCATTATTGTTGAATAAGTTGAACAATAGATAAACAACTATTTATCTGAATTTTGATTATCTTGTGTGACTACACAACAGCATGTGCTGGACTCAGAGGAAAGGCTGATTTTGACTCCAGCACACAAAAGAAAGAAGTGAGGTTTTTCCAATCTACGAGCCATATGCTGATTGGCGGTCCTATTGTCTTGACAACTAGTTATGAGTGTTGACAGTGAAAAAGACTTCTGTTGAAAATTCTAGAGATTAGTTTTGTGTGATTGCAGTCAAAAGACAGGATGTATGGCAAAGATGTAATAGAGGTAGAGGACTCGTAAGAATTATCAATTTTATTTTTGTGAAATCAAAGAAATTCATTTATTTATAATCAAATAAATAAAACATAAAATTGACATAATAATTAACTGTGAAAGAACAAGGATATAATTTCACCCAGTTTCCCTCACTTCTCATCAACAATTGACTCCACCAAACTATCATTTTTTCTGTGTTAAATTAGTGTTTTAATTGTTTCAGGAACAGTTGAATAGAATTGTTTTATACAATCTATCATGCATACTGTGAGAAAAATCACGTATAAATTTTATGCCAACATGTCAAATGGCAAAGCTACCAAAGTTCCATAACTCTGTCAAGGAATTTTCAGATTGTCTCCCCTTAGACCATGCATTTGGTGACCCTTCCCTTTCATGCATGCTAACTTGAAATATGTCTCATTTCATGATACGACATATTCTCAAAGACATTCTTAGTAAACTGGTCTGAACCTTCATTAAACAAAACACCAGCTTAATCCTAGAGAACTGTAGAAGGATAACATTGTTTACAGTAAAATCATCCACAGGGAAATGTTGTCAAGATCTAGAATAAACATATATATATTGTTTTCCATTTTAAATTTAAACATAAACGACTTCAAATTTATCTATTGTTGCACTCAGCATGCATATTTTGAATTATTTATAAGCCAGGGTTTTTCCATGGTTTCAGGCACATTGGGACAAATTGTTATTTAGTTTCCAATTAAGGATATGTGAAAGTTTCTTATTCTTATTTAGCCTGAAGTAATATACAAATAACTGAGTCCGGGACAGACAATTCATTGAATGATATTAGGAACGCCTTCAGAGTACAACGACACACAATCAACCAAGTCTCCAACACTGGTACCCGATCCATTTGGTCCCCACCTATGATAGGTTGCCCAGGTTGCTGGGGACCAATTCTAACCCCGATTCCCCATGAGGTGTCGCAGCAGCGGTGGGGTAACCTAGTGGTTAAAGAATTCGCTCGTCACGCCCAAGACACAGGTTCGATTCCCAACAAGGGAACAATGTTCCCATATATGGTGTCCCCCAGCCGTGACATTGTGGGAAAATTGCTAAAAGCGGCGTAAAACAATACTCACTCACTCACTCACTTACTCATGAGGTGTCCCTGTGGTGAAACTGTTACAGATCCACTAATATCAGTGCTGGCCAGGAGGTGACAGGTGAGGGTTAGTCAACAGTCCCCTGCCATTATATAGCAGCTGCTGGTTAATGAGACTAATGATAGGTCAGTATTTTTAAACCTTACTTGTAAGTATTTTGAAAAAGAAAACACCTGAAAATATCTTTTTGTCCTCTTATAATCCTCAGCTAAATACTATTTGGACATATTTTTTCACAGCTGTTTCTGATTAACTTCTGACACGATATATATTCGAGGGTCAGTAGATTGAGAAGGTCATGGACAGACAGCAGGCAGTCCTACCTATGTGTTTAACATTAATACTGGTCCGCTGGTCAAAGTCTAGTAACTCTTCAACAGGGGGATGAAATGAATGGTAGGTCCAGTGTCATTGTTGAGGCACTGTTGATTATTTCTTTGATTCAAATCTGAAATCTCTCAAACTCTAAACATGATCAGCAACCCTGCATGGAATATAGTTGCTTCTATATTAATTATCATCATATTTCATTATTTTGGTCAGGTCTAATTGCTCAAGCAGATATTTCTATCTGATGGTCTGCCACACTGTGGTGGTAGTCAGGAACTGTTTGTATGTAGTCGGATGCAACACTCACCTCCCCGAAGCGTGACAAACTTGCTTGGCATCCCACTCCATGCAAGATGCTGTAATGGTATCACTGAGCTGAAACATAATGTTTAACACTGTTAGCTTTCCGTTGTCAACTGCAAATCTCAACATTTCAGTGCGAGCTGGGTTTATTGCTACTTTCTTGGATCAGTGATGTTTGTTTGTTGTAACACCACACTCAGCAATATACTAGTTATAGGTCAGCTTCTTGTAAATAATTGAGTGTTCAAGAAAGAGAGAGTAGAGAGAGAGAGAGAGAGAGAGAGAGAGAGAGAGAGAATTACATCGTACCGAGAAATGAAGAAAACAGTCTAGTTCTTTGTTCTTGTGCAAAACATCATCTCTAAACATCAATTCTAATTCTAATATCAAGAAACCATTATGAGTGTATAAAATATCAAAGATGCTGACATTTCTGAAAATACCTAACATTTTGGATAGTTGTGGCAATAGTTTGTGTAAGAAAACACCATCATGACAACAAACCATGTGTACAGATAATAGGATATCACCTTTCTTAGTTCATGATCGTTGACATTTACACACAATATTATATTTTTAAAAACTGAAATAAGATATGCCTTCAAATATTTCTACTGGTAGATATATTCCTTGTAAACTACCTGTGGAAAATAAAACAACATCGTCACCTACATGATTGTTGAATAATCAGAATGAAAAAAATACACAATATGTTTCAAATGTTGGATGAGATATATACACCCTTTTCATTGATAATATGAACCCTAACTCTTAATCCTGACACAACATTCTTGAGATGTTCACTGAGAAATGGAAAAAAACCTGACTTTTGAAGAACAAAGAAATAATATTGTTGAGACATGGAATAACACTGATATAACACTGTTGAGATATGGAATAACACTGATATAACACTGTTGAGACATGGGATAACACTGATATAACACTGTTGAGATATGGAATAACACTGATATAACACTGTCGAGACATGGAATAACACTGATGTAACACTGTTGAGACATGGAATAACACAGATGTAACACTGTTGAGACATGGAATAACACTGATATAACTGTCGATACATGGATAGCACTGATATAACACTGTTGAGACATGGAATAACACAGATATAACACTGTTGAGATATGGAATAACACAGATATTACACTGTTGAGACATGGAATAACACAGATATAACACTGTTGAGATATGGAATAACACTGTTGAGACATGGAATAACACTGATATAACTGTCGAGACATGGAATATCACTGATATAACACTGTTGAGACATGGAATAACACAGATATAACACTGTTGAGACATGGAATAACACAGATATAACACTGTTGAGACATGGAATAACACAGATATAACAATGTTGAGATATGGAATGACTGGGAAATGGTATGCACCTGGTCTATCTAGTTGAGATATGGTGTAATCCTGGTAATGTCTAGCTGTGATTGAATAACCCTGGTAATATTTAGCTGTGATATGGTGTAACCCTGATAACATCTAGTTGAGATATGGTGTAACCCTGGTAATATCTAGCTGTGATTGAATAACCCTGGTAATATCTACCTGTGATATGGTGTAACCCTGGTAATATCTACTTGTGATATGGTGTAACCCTGGTGATATCTAGCTGTGATATGGTGTAACCCTGGTGATATCTAGCTGTGATATGGTGTAACCCTGGTAATATCTAGCTGTGATATGGTGTAACACTGGTAATATCCACCTGTGATATGGTGTAACCCTGGTAATATCTACCTGTGATATGGTGTAACCCTGGTAATATCCACCTGTGATATGGTGTAACCCTGGTGATATCTAGCTGTGATATGGTGTAACCCTGGTAATATCTAGCTGTGATATGGAATAACCCCGGTCTTATCTAGCTGTGATGTGGAATAACCCCGGTCTTATCTAGCTGTGATATGGTGTAATCCTGGTAATATCTAGCTGTGATGTGGAATAACCACGGCAGTATAACGGCACCTTTAACAGTATTACAGTTATATCGCGGCGAGTCAGCTTAATGTGGGAGGTTTGGTTTGGTTTGGTTTGTTGTTTAACGCCGCACTCAGCAATATTCCAGCTATATGATGGCGGTCTGTAAATAATCGAGTCTGGACCAGACAATCCAGTGATTGATATCATGAGCATCAATCCACGCAATTGGGATCGATGACATGCATCAACCATGTGGCAATATTTTGTCCGTGTTCTGGTATACTGGGTAGAAAAATATACGGTATTATTTGTATCCTCTAACCTAAAATCTGCACAGAACTTCAAAATTGTTAGACAAAATGGCGGACATGCGGAAAAGATTTTCCCTCACATGGTTATCTCCCCTGCATGCTGGTAGAAAAAGGCAACGACGGACAGTCCTGACACACAAGTGTGTAAGTGTAAAGGTTGGATGGAGAAAAAGAATACATTGCATCCCAAAGGATAGGATATCAATCACATCAGGTTTTACGCGATCCAGAAATGTGTTTCCAGTAAGCACAAAAGTATAAATGGATGCAGACAAAAACAATATATTGAATCCAAAGAGACGCACAAGAAATGTAAAGGTCCTGTAATTAAATTAATTATCAAATCTTAGTACACTACACTATTTCAGGACCAACATATTTCCAGTAAGGACCCTTGAAATGAAGCATTAGGGATCCCCTGGGCCTTGTTTTGTAGGTCAAGGTGAAACACTGCATCATCAATGTATCAAATCTTTGCACATTTCTCATACAAAATAAGTTCATTACCCTTTCCTCAAGGGGTCTGACGCATAGACTTATTCAATCAGAGGACTATAATTCTGACAAGGGTATGTCTTGATTGTCTACTGAATGTCATCAAAATTGAAACTTGACATATCCTTTAAATCAAACCAGACCTTGTTCAATTTCTCACCACACTGTCCTTGCTTTTTTTGGTCTGTCATCACAGATTGTGAAATTAAAACTTGAAATGTCATATATGTGGGTTGGTTGGTTTGTTGTTTCACGCAGCACTCAGAAATATTCCAGCTATATGACAGCGGTCTTTAAATAACTGAATCTGGACCAGACAATCGAGTGTTTAATATCATGAGCATCGATCTACGCAATTGGGATCGATGACATGCATTAACCAAGTCAGCGAGCCTGACCACCCAATCCCGTTAGTCGCCTCTTACAACAAGCAAAGTCGCCTTTTACGGCAAGCAGGGTTGCTGAAGATCTATTCTACCCCGGATTCTGACGCAGATTATCTGCACCTTTTCTAGCAATACTGATTGCCATATCTCTCCCACTTTTGGATGTGATCGGCCGGCCATTGTGTTTATCTGCATTGCCAAGCTACATCGACATTTCCCTCTCCAATTTACGTCATCATCTTTGCAAGCGCATGTTCGATTTCCAGAAATGATGTCATGATCGAACAATACTTTATTGTGAAATAAACCACGCTTCATTCTTCATTGTTCTTTGTGATTTATTGCGTAGCTATCTTATATAATGTAAATAAACTTGAATAAGCCCAGCACAGACTTTGTCATTATCCCATATTCATATATAATATAGGGGGTGCCCGAGAATCCAATGATATTGCAGCCCAACTCAAAGATACTCAATGTAAGGTTAGACTATTTGGTCTCAGGGGAGAACTGGCTGTTTTAAGGCCATGTTTTGCATTACAGAATATTATTCTCCCACAATCATGTAATAAAAGATGTTAACTGCCACCACATCTTATGCTTCGATGACAGTTTCTGCCACATAGAATGTTAATCTTCCACAATTACTTAATAAAAGATATTTTCAGCAACATTTTATGCTTCGATGACATTCTACAATTACATAATAAAAGATATTTTCAGCAACATTTTATGCTTCGATGACATTTTCTGCCACATGGAATGTTATTCTTCCACAACTACGTAATAAAAGATATTTTCAGCAACATTTTATGCTTCGATGACATATTCTGCACAATTACGTAATAAAAGATATTTTCAGCAACATTTAATGCTATGAAACATATTCTGCCATATAAAATATTATTCTGCCACAACTATGAAACAAGATATGCTGCCACATCTTATGCCATAAAATATTCTGCTATATAGTATGTTGTACAGATGTATTCTTTCACAGTATTTTACTGCCATAACATACACTCTAATGCATTATTTTTATCATATATTACACTGTGGTATGTTTTTTGTATACAATATTAGACAAGATTCTACCAGACCAGACAATCCAGTGAATGGCATCATGAGCATCAATCTACGCAACTGGGATAAGATGACATGCATCAACCAAGTGCTTGAGTGTAGCATGATGTATGTCAAAAGGCAATAACATGTTGACATGCATTGATGCATACTGTACCATGTAGAATATAACAATGTAATATTGTAGTTTGTTGGTTGGTTGTTTAACGCCGCACTCAGCAATATTCCAGCTATATGACGGCGGTCTGTAAATAATCGAGTGATTGACATCATAAACCGGCCTACGGTGTTGAAAGAGTTAAATAATCGAGTCTGGACCAGACAATCCAGTGATTGATATCATGAGCATCGATCCACCCAATTGGGATCGATGACCGTGCATCAACCAAGTCAGCGAGCCTGACCACCTGATTCTGGTAGTCGCCTAGTAATATTGTACCATATAGTATATAACAATGTAATACTGTACACCGGGTAGTATTTAACAATGTAATATCGTACCAGGAAGTATATAACAATGTAATACTGTACACCAGGTAGTATATAACAATGTAATACTGTATCAGGTAGTATATGACAATGTAATACTGTACACCAGGTAGTATATAACAACGTAATATTGTATCAGGTAGTATATGACAATGTAATACTGTACTACGGGTAGTATATAACAATGTAATATTGTATCAGGTAGTATATGACAATGTTGTATTGTACCAGATATATAACAATTTAATATTGTACCAAGTTATATTAAACAATTGTACCAGGTATATAACAATTTAATATTGTACCAAGTTATATTAAACAATGTAATATTGTATCAGGTAGTTTATAACATTGTTGTATTGTACCAGGTATATAACAATGTAATATTGTACCAAGGAGTATATTACAATGTAAGCAAATCATCAAGTGTCCCCGATTCAACACCAAGAATATGTACAGCAAGAATATGTACAGCAAGAAAAAAGTCATCTCTTCCTCATTCAACACCAATGATATGTGAAACATCAAATCTTCTCCGTAACACCAAGGATATGTAAAACATCAAATCTTCTCCATAACACCAAGGATATGTAAAACATCAAATCTTCTCCGTAACACCAAGGATCTGTAAAACATCAAATCTTCTCCGTAACACCAAGGATATGTAAAACATCAAATCTTCTCCGTAACACCAAGGATCTGTAAAACATCAAATCTTCTCCGTAACACCAAGGATATGTAAAACATCAAATCTTCTCCGTAACACCAAGGATATGTAAAACATCAAATCTTCTCCATAACACCAAGGATATGTAAAACATCAAATCTTCTCCATAACACCAAGGACATTTCAAACATCAAATCTTCTCCATAACACCAATGATATGTAAAACATCAAATCTTCTCTGTAACACCAAGGATATGTAAAACATCAAATCTTCTCCGTAACACCAAGGATATGTAAAACATCAAATCTTCTCCGTAACACAAAGGATATTTCAAACATCAAATCTTCTCCATAACACCAAGGATATGTAAAACATCAAATCTTCTCCGTAACACCAATGATATGTAAAACATCAAATCTTCTCCGTAACACCAGGGATATGTTAAACATCAAATCTTCTCCATAACACCAAGGATCTGTAAAACATCAAATCTTCTCCGTAACACCAAGGATATTTCAAACATCAAATCTTCTCCATAACACCAAGGATATGTAAAACATCAAATCTTCTCCATAACACCAAGGATATGTAAAACATCAAATCTTCTCCGTAACACCAATGATATGTAAAACATCAAATCTTCTCCGTAACACCAAGGATATGTAAAACATTAAATCTTCTCCGTAACACAAAGGATATGTAAAACATCAAATCTTCTCCATAACACCAAGGATATGTAAAACATCAAATCTTCTCCGTAACACCAAGGATATTTCAAACATCAAATCTTCTCCGTAACACCAAGGATATGTAAAACATTAAAACTTCTCCGTAACACCAAGGATATGTAAAACATCAAATCTTCTCCATAACACCAAGGATATGTAAAACATCAAATCTTCTCCGTAACACCAAGGATACGTCAAACATCAAATCTTCTCCGGAACACCAATGATATGTAAAACATCAGATCTTCTCAGTAACACCAAGGATATGTAAAACATCAAATCTTCTCCGTAACACAAAGGATATGTGAAACATCAAATCTTCTCCGTAACACCAAGGATATGTAAAACATCAAAACTTCAACATAACAACAAGGATATGTAAAACATCAAATCTTCTCCGGAACACCAAGGATATGTAAAACATGAAACCTTTGACATAACACGAAGGATACATGAAACATCTAATCTTCTCCGCAACACCCAAGGATATGTAAAACATCTAATCTTCTCCGTAACACCAAGGATATGTAAAACATCTAATCTTCTCCGTAACACCCAAGGATATGTAAAATATCAAATCTTCTCCATAACACCAAGGATATGTGAAACATCAAATCTTCTCCATAACACCAAGGATATGTAAAACATCAAAACTTCGACATAACACCAAGGATATGTAAAACATCAAATCTTCTCCGTAACACCAAGGATATGTAAAATATCAAATCTTCTCCGTAACACCAAGGATATGTAAAATATCAAATCTTCTCCTTAACACCAAGGAAATGCGAGTAAAACATCAGATTTCCTCTAGTCAACACCAAAGATATGTTTTGCAAGAAAAACATTAAATCTCCTCTATTCACCATCAAGGATATGTTCAGTGAACATAAACCTTTCATTATATAACATCACTACATTCCTATATATAACATCACTAGATTCCTATATATATAACATCACTACATTCTTATATATAACATCACTAGATTCCTATAAATTGAACTATGGAAATATTTTGCTGGCAAAGCATTTCTATTTAAGGTGGCCAGGTAAGACAAGTACTACAGGAAAAGCCTCCACACAAACACACCTTCACATAGTAAGACTCCTGTATGTTTATGACAACTTGTACTGCTAGAAAATCACTACGATGAATGGCACAATCCTGCCTGAATGCGGTCCAAGACATTAGCAGATCCTGGCATGACTGGAATTCTTGGTTGCCGCAACAGAATCGAAAGGTATCAGGGAATTCAAAGAGCACTGGAACTGCCTGGAAGAAGAGTCTCTGTATGATGGCGGGGTGCCAGGCATTATCTCCTCTCGTGGACTCGGTGCCAAATTGGTGAACACTCTGTGGAGGGAAAACAGGAGAAATTAAATATTGGAAGTAACCTTGGTGTACTGGCATGTTGATGGAATGACAACTATGTTCATTCTTGCAATAGAAAAAACTTGTTTATTTTGAACTAAGCTTACTGTTTCTGTGTGTATTTGAAACAAACGTTTTTGTATGATGTGAGGAATGAAACAAAGTCCTGACAAACCTAAGCCATAAAAACTGGCCTACCCCATTACCTTGAACTGTTTGTTTGTTTGTTTGTTTGTTTGTTTGTTGAACACCGCAATATTCCACCCTGTATGACAGCAGTCTGTAAATAATCAAGTCTGAACCAGACAATACAGTGATTGACATCATGAGTATCGATTTACACAATTGGGATACGATGACATGCATCAAGTCAGCGAGTCTGACCACCCGACTCTTAGGACAAGCATTGTTGCCTCCTACAACAAGCATGGGTTGCTCAATACCTCTTCAAACCCGGATCTCTACGGGTGTACCTTGAACTCAGAACATTCTAATTGTTGCTACGGTATTGTGGAAACCAATGGTTATAGTGTTAGTCTTTGGGTTGTAGTGGTTGTCTGTTGGTTGTGTTGGTTTTCTGTTGGTTGTGGTGATTGTCTGTTCATTTTAGTGGTTGTCTATTGGTTGTAGTGGATGGCTGTTGATTGTAGTGGATGCCTGTTGGTTGTCTATTGGTTGTAGTGGTTGTCTACTGGTTGAAGTGGTTGTCTAGTGGTTGTCTACTGGTTGCAGTGGTTGTCTATTGGTTGTAGTGGTCGACTGGTCCCTGTGGTTGTCTGTTGGTTGCAGTAACTGCCTACTGGTGGCAGTTTATTGGTTGAAGTGAAAGCCAGTTGTTTGTAGTTGGGCAGGGTGAAGGTCTAGAGATAGAATTTGCCATCAATGCCATGGTAGTATATATATCAATGCAATGGTAGTATATACATCAATGCCATGGTAGTATATATATATCAATGCCATGGTAGTATATATATATCAATGCCATGGTAGTATATACATCAATGCCATGGTAGTATATACATCAATGCCATGGTCGTATATACATCAATGCCATGGTAGTATATATATATCAATGCCATGGTAGTATATATACATCAATGCCATGGTAGTATATACATCAATGCCATGGTAGTATATACATCAAAGCCATGGTAGTATATACATCAATGCCATGGTTGTATATACATCAATGCCATGGTAGTATATACATTGTGATAGTTTTGACTGTGATTCATTTGTTGTTTAACGCCACGCTCTGCAATGTACAAGCTATATGACAGCAGCCTGTAAATAAACAAGTCTTAACCAGACAATTCAGTGATTGACATCATGAGCATCGACCGATGCAATTTGGATACGATGACATGCATCAACTACATCAGTGAGGCTGACCACCCAATCCCGTTGGTCGCCTCTTATAATAAACATGACCAATTATAACCCGGATCTTTAAGGGCATAAAGGCATGGGATTCTGAAGACCAACCCTAACCTGCATCTTTGCAGGGCCACCATTGTCAGAATACAAGTTTGTCTGAATCCAGGGATAGGAATGTGTTTTGCCACAAGGAACTTGCAACGATGGTAAGGTAGGTGTGCCCCTTTGAATTTAAATTGGCCAACAAGAACATTATTGATCCATCTTCATATCCGGTGAATGTGATTTCAACAGGAGCTAGATAATAAGCAGTTGGGATCTGGAAAGTCTGCCTACTTCTTTATCACTGAAATTTACAAGATCCTGTCCATTTACTGCAACCAACATCTATTTCATGAATCCTAGTGTGCATAGAGCATGTGTATGTATCCATTACATCAGTTGGAACACATTACTTTCCTGAAGAATATTCATCACTGGATTAATTATGTCATACACATTTTCAAAAGGTGTTTCTTTTAGATATGCTAAGTGTGCCCTTTAGGAACTTAGCCGTGCCCTTACACTAACTGTGCCTTTAGCACTATAACTCAATGACTTTTGAAAACTGTAATGTGATCCAAACTCAACCAGACTTGCCACTACTGTCTGAACCTGATCCAAACTCAACCAGACTTGCCACTACTGTCTGAACCTGATCCAAACTCAACCAGACTTGCAACTACTGTCTGAACCTGATCCAAACTCAACCAGACTTGCCACTACTGTCTGAACCTGATCCAAACTCAACCAGACTTGCCACTACTGTCTGAACCTGATCCAAACTCAACCAGACTTGCAACTACTGTCTGAACCTGATCCAAACTCAACCAGACTTGCCACTACTGTCTGAACCTGATCCAAACTCAACCAGACTTGCAACTACTGTCTGAACCTGATCCAAACTCAACCAGACTTGCCACTACTGTCTGAACCTGATCCAAACTCAACCAGACTTGCAACTACTGTCTGAACCTGATCCAAACTCAACCAGACTTGCAACTACTGTCACCTGTCTGTCAGAGTAATGTCACCCCCAATGATACAGCACAATACAAAAGACAAGCTCACACTACCACAAACAATTTTTCAAAGAACTGTCCCAGTCTATGTTTCCAAGGATAAACACTTGTTGCTACATTTACCTGAGATATAGATGATGAACATTAGCAAATATTACATTTATCATTATCATTTATACCTAGCATATATCACAAGTATTATTTATACCAAGCAGATATTACAGGTATTACTTATACCTAGCATATATCACAAGTATTATTTATACCTAGCATATATTACAGGTATTATTCATACCTAGCAGATATTACAGGTATTATTTATACCTAGCAGATATTACAGGTATTATTTATACCTAGCAGATATTACAGGTATTATTTATACCTAGCAGATATTACAGGTATCATTTATACCTAGCATTTATTACATCATTTATACCAAGCAGATATTACAGGTATTACTTATACCTAGCATATATTACAGGTATTATTCATACCCAGCAGGCATTACAGGTATTGTTCATACCTAGCAGACATATCAGGTATCATTTATACCCAGCAGATGTAACATCATTCTTACCTAGCAGATAGCATAGAACTGGATAATTTCTCATCCAAGATATACGGAATAGGTACATATACTGGATCATTTCTCTCCCAATACATATCACTCCATGTCAAATTGCCAGACTTATGAGCTACTTTCCTCAAGACATTTTCATGTCATATGATGTTTTTCATTTTCCCAAAGTCCTGTATTTCTCTTTCAAAAGTAAACATAAGTGTATAATAATCTGTTTAACTAACAACACAATCCATGAATTTACTCCCACTTTCACAATAAATTACTTGTCTTCACGTACACCATAAAATATAAATAACTAGTAATCTACGAAGACCACAAATGACCAGTTGTCCACCAACATCATCTACGCCAAGTCGATGAATGACTAGCTGTCTACCAACATCATCTATGCCAAGTCGACAAATGACTAGTTGTCTACCAACATCATCTATGACATGTCGACAAATGACTAGTTGTCTACCAACATCATCTATGACAAGTCAACACATGACAAGTTGTCCACCAACATCATTAATGCCTTACACCATAAAAAACAATTCGTCCACTTACACCACAAATGTCCGCTCCACAAACATCACTTACAACATCGTCTACCACAAACATGACTATTCGTCTAATAACACATAACTTATCAAACAAGTGCCAGCCTGTCTTTTCATCTGGGACATACTTCTAAGAAGTATACAGCATCTTTAAGTAATGAGTAAAAAACCAGTAAGAATTAGTTAATGATCATTTTGTAGACACTGCAGACTTTACAACCCAAACTTTAGAGCCTGGAGTGAAGCATAATTGTACTTTCTGAAGTTAAGATCAAGGAAGGACGGATAACTTACACCAGTCTCTCTCTAATTAGTCTCTACCTAATTCTTGATAATCTCATGATACTGCTGTCATGAAGCAGCAATATTATTAATTTCAAACACTTGATGCCTTGACATTGATGACTTTCCTGGCTCTGGTGCTGCAACCTATTTATGTCTTTTCCCATGGGCGACACCCAAGACAGAGGAAATTGTTTGGTCACAAGATTTGCCACTGTAACTGTACTGGTCTTCAGTTACAGAATTTGAAAATACAATGCACCATGTCACTTTACACGTACTAAGTAAGAAGTTCAGGTGTGTCGAAATAACAGTCTTGAGAAGTCTGTGAAGTTTAAAATCTCGTGTGCGCCCGATCCAAAGTCTTTTCGTTAACGACTGTCGCATGTATCGGTGACAAATTAAATATATGTGTAACTGTCAAGTAAAATATAAAGAAACGGACGTTTCTCAAAAATTCTGTTATTCTGAGTGCCTAATCAGACTAAATTATGCAAGAAAGTTTTTAAAATCATTCTACACGCTTAAAAACAAGAGCGAAATGCGCGACGTAGGTAAAAAGAAGACAAGTGTATGTCTATATACCGTCGATGGGCGTCCATTTAAAAAATATATTAATTATTTTAAAATTTGAAGGATCTATTTCAAAATGTGGTGATGGGGAGTACAGGGAGGGAAGGCGCAATTTATAAACGAACCAAATATTTTAGCAAAAGATATCACGGGCGCATGCGCAAATGTACACTTTTGCAAATTTGGCGTCAAGACATGCGCATCTCCGAGGCGCATTCAGACCCGTCTGATCAGCTCAAGTTCACGTGTCATTACAGCGAGGGTGCCATCTTGAAAGCGACATTCGTATATATGAAAACACCCAATGTCAGTCTGTCCTAGACAGTAGCGTCGACAAATAATGTCATAATTATTCTAGATCCGAGATACATCTTGATAATAAAGTCTCTTTGATAAAAAGTGTCTTGTGTTCAAGGAGCGCTGACACACCTCGAGATCCTAATAGCCCTGTACCCTTACATCACTGCATAGAAATGAGTGTAATTGTGGATCCTATGCAAGGTAAATGTGAGCTATCTAGCCCCGCGCCACAATAACCCTAAAATATGAGACACCTAGTGCACA